TTTAAAAGCTACTGTGAGAGCCTGAGAGACAGGGAAAACCTTGGGGTCAGGAGTAGACCTAATTGAGGGGGAAAAATTTTGGCTTTAATTAGAAAATCAAACTGATATTTAATTTACAATTAAAGTCATTGAAAACCAAATTAAGCTTTAATGTTTAGCTTCTGTTAGAGTCTATTGGTGGAAGTATAGCTTCCAGATCTTCCTGGGGTTTTATTTTACACAGAGGTATATATGGGAAGTTTGCTCAAAAGAAACAGGTGTTAAGTACCAGTTGACTTTATGTGATCTTAAACATCGTGTGATGTTACTTTAAAATGATCCCGGAATGTTTGTCCCATTAGGCATAAAACCAGAGAACCCAAACTTTAGCAACTGTCTCAGGCCTTTACACCTCCTTCCCCTGCATGGATGAGTGTTCATCCAGCTCTAGTAGGACTCCTGAATTGTGGATACAACACCTCACTTGTTTTGCATGTTCACTGTGGGTTGTCTTGTGTTAGTTGTCCACCATGGGCTGTCTTGTGTTAGTTACTCACTTTGGGCTATCTTGTGTTAGTTATCAGTCATTGGTTATCTTGTGTTAGTTATTTGATGTGGGCTCTTGTGTTAATTATCCACCATGGGCTGTCTTGTATTCATTATTCTCCATGGACTGTCTTGTTATCCACCATGAGCCTGTGTTAGTCACTCACTGTGGGCTGTTTTGTGTTAGCTCTTCACCACGGACTGTCTTGTGTTAATTACTCATTGCCTTCCTTTCTCACTTGTCTTCTTGGGTATATACTGCAGGATTTGTAGGAATGATATATGGTTATTGGATTTCATATCCAACATGGAACATCAAATAATGCATGTTATTGGACAAAAGCAAAACAAAGTAAACCGAGGCTTAGAAATGATTCTCTTCTTCCCTGCTGTTTCTCTGACAGATTAAGAATGTGTTACACTCAGCCAGGCTGCTGGGAGATGCTTCAGTGTCCTTCACAGAGAACTGTGTGGTGGGGATCCAGGCCAACACAGAGAGGATCAACAAGCTAATGAATGAGTCTTTAATGTTGGTGACAGCTCTTAATCCCCATATAGGTAAGTTTGGAGGATAATGCCATTTTGAAAACAGCATTTAAAAGTTAAATTAAAAAATAAGCCTTAAATATAAAAATAAGTTAAAAATAAAATTGTGTGTATGTGTGTCTGTACATGTATGCCATGGTGTATATGTGTGTGTCATGTTTTCTCTTTATACTATGCTGGTCCTGGGGATGGAACTATGGTTAGAAGTCTTGTCAACAATCACAACAATCACCTTTATCTGCTGAACCATTTTGTTGGTCCCCAAAAGTTCAAGTGACTTGGTTTTTGGACAGGATTTCAGGCATATATATGGCTTAGGTTGACTTTGAACTCTTTAAAAAAAAAAAAAGAAAAACTTTTACCTCTCTCTCTCTCTCTCTCTCTCTCTCTCTCTCTCTCTCTCTCTCTCTCTCTCTCTCCCCCCCCCAGCCCCCTGTGTTTGTCCGTATGTCTGTCCGTCTGTCCCATGGGATGCATGTGGGGGTCAGTGGAGAGCTTGCAGGAGTCAGTTCTCTCCTTCCACCGTGTGTCTCTGTGGGGTAGAACTCAGAGCAGCCGTCTTGGCAGAGAGTGCCTTTACACACTAAGCTCTCACACTAGCCCTTATTTCATGTTAATGGACTCAGATGCTGGGTGCTGCATGCGATTGGAAAAGGTTATCTGGAAGACCTTCTGTTAGTAATGTCACTAGGTGGCACTGCCTGATTACCGGCAGTGAATGGATTCATTTGGTTTTTCCTTTGCTAGGTACTATGTAATTCTTGGATTTTGTTTTATCCAGTTCAGATATGGAATGTCACTAACTCAAAGAGAAAGGCTAAATACTGAATACCTAGTCTTTTCCAGATTGTAACTGATGTATGTATATATTTAGATCGCAGGCTGGGTACCACCACCCAGCCCATAGTCATTTGCTCTGGCTTCTGCAGGTTGAGGCGGTCACTGTGTTACGTTCCCTCTGCTGAGCAGATGACTTTGGTCTGTTTTTAAATGAGTGATGGTGCCATGTGATATGATATAGTTACCGCTATAGAATGTTCTGTAATCCTGAGCTTTTGGAGCAGACTTTATTTGTGGTTTTCTACTTTTATAAAGCTGGTTAAATGGTTTAACTGATTTAAAATTGTTATATGCCAGCATTCACCTAGAAAGGTGCAAAGTGACCCCAAAGGCTCATGTGACAAACACTCCATTGGACACTTCTAGGATAGAGACACTATCTAAGCAGAATGACTGGGAAGCTTCCTTGGACTCTGTGAGGACAGATCCACCAAGGCAGCATCTCTGGCAAGTGTGCCTCATGGGCTTAGCAAGTACCACCTCACTGACTGAGTCCTGGGCTTTCAGTGGTCTCCTGATGCAAGAAGCTGGTGGCTGTTAGTGTTTGTGTTGGTGGGCAGGGATGCTTATGTTTTCATCCTGGGTCACATGAAAAATACTGAAGACAACTGGACCCAAGAGTTTAGTGTGAACATCCCTTCCGGTTACTCCATGCCAGCTCAGTGAACATTCATAGAGTCAACTAAGAGTGAAGTCAAGCAAGCCTGTCTGGGTGCATCCAGACATGTGCCACTTTACCACCTGGCTGTCTTATTGCCCCAGCAGGCTCCACCCCTTTGGTCATAGTCCTCTGACTTGAGTTTTATTTTTGTCTTCCTTCACTGACTTCATTGTCTTTGCTTTTGTCTTCTATCTTTTTAAAACTGTCAGTTTTAAAGGTCAAAACAACATTGAGAACTTCCCAGTGCTAGCCTTCATTTAAAAAGCAGATGACTCTGAAGTATACCAATGCCCATGATGTTTTGTTTATTTTTTGAGACAGGGCTGGCTGTGTAGCCCAGGCTGAGACTCATGGTCATCTCCTGGATGCTAGTATTACAGTGCATTGGGTTGCCTGGATTCCTTTGTCCAAACACACAGCTCTACTAACATTTTCCCTTTTTATCCTTGTAATATCTAAGCAGACGCCAGGGAATGGCACCCTCTCAGTCTGGCTGCTCCTGCCTCAACAAGGACTGCCAGCTCTCCCTCCAGAGGCAGTTTCAGCCGCTGCCTATTAAATATCTGTCTATTCTGCAGGCCTGCCACATTTAAATGTTAGTGCTGCCTTAGAAAGTTAATTAGGGTCAGGCATGGTAGCACATGTCTTTAATCCCAGCACTCAGAAGATAGAGACAGGCAATCTCTGATTCTGAGGCCAGCCTGGTTACAAAGCCAATTCCAGGACAGCCACAGCTGCACAGAGAAGTTCTGTTTAGGGGCTTGGGGGAATAATTATGGGACAACAAACCCAAATGTGGATTTTTATACCATGGTACTTTATTGTCAGTTTTTTATGTCCTCTTTTGATTGTTGGTCCACTTCAACATAGGAGCAAATCTTAGCTAAAATGAGGTATGCTTAAGTCTATTTCCTAAGAAAATCAAGGTCAGATTCTATAGAAGATATGACAGTTATTGGCCTTATATAGTTTTAAAATAGAATGTGTCATTTAAGAGGGCTGTAACATCAGTATCAGTAAAACAATGTGGCTTCCTTTTGTTATAGAAAATTTCACTACTAATGTGGGTGTTGCCTGTCTTCTTCTCAGGGTATGACAAAGCAGCGAAGATTGCCAAGACTGCACACAAGAAAGGATCGACCTTAAAGGAAACAGCTATTGAACTTGGCTATCTCACTGCAGAACAGTTTGATGAATGGGTGAAACCCAAGGATATGCTGGGTCCAAAGTGACTTAAATAAATTTATATTAAAATAAACTTGTATGAAATTTAAAAAGCAAGGCTCTGCATTTAAATGACAATGAGAACTTTAAAAAGGAAACTATGTGGACTTGAACTGATCATTTGAATGAAGCTCCAGGGCCACAATAAACTAAATAAGTGCAAAATGCTTTCTTAAAATAAGAAAACAAAATAATTTTATTTTATGCTAAATAGCATATAATCAAAACTCTGATATTTGTGCATATGTGTTTGTCACTTCATGAACTTTTTAAAAGCGCTGCATCAGTTTTTAAAGTTTAAGTTTATGGCTGGTAGTGTTTTTTTTTTTTTTTTTTTTTTTTTTTTGGTTTTTGAGACAGGGTTTCTCTGTGGCTTCGGAGGCTGTCCTGGAACTAGCTCTTGTAGACCAGGCTGGCCTCGAACTCACAGAGATCCGCCTGCCTCTGCCTCCCAAGTGCTAGGATTAAAGGCGTGCGCCACCAACGCCCGGCTGGCTGGTAGTGTTTTAATGAAGTTCCCTGACAGTAAAAAGTACTTGTTATTGATTCACAAATTATATCTCCAACCAGCTTGAATTTTCCTGGGCTCTCAGAGCATAAGCTGACCAAGTAAGGATATGTATATGTGTACATGTGTGTTTGTGTCAGGAAATAGGATCAATTAAAAACTGGGATATATACATGCTATAGTACAGTTAGTTATAAAGACTGATATGTTTGGGCCAAGAATGCCTTAATATTTGTTGTTGGGAAAGTAATTATTATACCACCAATTCTTCTGTAGCAGTTTAAAGTCGTTTATTTAGAAACAAAAAGTAATTAAAACTACTGTTAGAAATGTTATAGAAGATGAATTTATTATTTATTTTTCTGGTGGTGCTGGAGGTAGGACCCAGGTCTTCACACATGCTGGACACTCTACCATTGGGTTCGATCCTTAGTCTTCTTTTTACATTTGTGACACCTGACTTCGCGGAGTACCCAGTTCCCTTGAACTGTCTGTAGTCCTGGCAGCTGTTGTCCTTGCAAACCTCCTTTCTTGGCCTCCGGGGCTAGGATTACAGGACAGACCTCAGCTTGCTGAATTCTAATTTGTTAATGCTTGAATGGACATACATTTTTTTCATCTTTATTTTTATGTGTCTGGGTGTTTTCCCTGCATGATATCTGTGTATCATGTGCATGCTTCCTGCCCTAGAGGCCAGAAGAGGGCAGATTCCCTTGGACTGGAATTACAGATGTTGTGAGCTGCTGTGTAGTGCTGGGAATTGAACCCAGACTGTGAGAAAGCAGCCAGTGCTTTTTATAACCAAGCTATTTTTCCAACCCAAGGCATTTTTATTATAAAGAGCTTCAAACTTTTTCTTACATAACTCCCAAAATAGTAAGGGTGTACTTCTTAGTTCATATGACTGGTGTGTGTGTGTGTGTGTGTGTGCGCGTGCTTTGTGTTCTTTCTCAATGTGGGGGATTCACTCTGGGACATCAAGCATGCTAGGCAGGCTTTACACTGAGATACTTTCTTACCTATAGTGCTATCTTTGCTGGTGATAGATGGTGATACTGTAATACTTCTACAGCTTGCTTCTAAGAAGGGTTTTGAACTTAATAAAAATCAATTACATTGTATAGCAACAACAAACAAACTTGCAAATAACTGGTAGTTGTGACAGTTGATCTTCAGTTGTGACATACTTACTTGTTCAGATGTTGATGTCTACCTTGGCAGGCTATCATTTGAGGGCTGGTGCAGAAACAACTACTTAGGTAATACAGATAACAGCGCATCAGGTTCCCAGATTCTCAAATAACATTTGTATGACTGATTCAGCCCAGCATATGACAGGCCAAAGAATCCTTTGAATTGACAATCATCTCTGATGGTGCTGAAGCAAAATAGTATAGGGTGATGTCATGGGAAGAAGGCTTTTAGAATTCTCTGTTGGATGCTTGAATTGAAAGTCAACTTCATGTTTCCACTGGGAAACTTATCCTCTGGAGACATCTAACAAAGTCCACAGACACTTAGGTGTCACAGCCATGAGAGGAATCTCATTGATTGAAGCCAAAGAGATTGTCAAACACAATGCACAGGAGACCCCCCTCCGAGGGCGTTTTCCAGCCCTAAGACCATTCAGCTAGGTTTCACGACCTCTCTCCCTTCCCCACTCATTGGTGCTAATAGGAAAGATCCTCTTCCCAGTAAAGATAGGCAGGTGGGGTGTGGTGGCTCCTGCCTTCAATCACAGCACTCACAGGTCAGGGCCTGCCAGGACCGCATAGTGAGACTCTTTAAAAACAAACAACAACAAAAAACAACACAAACAGAGTCAAAGTCTTTAAAAATGTCAGGCTTAAGGTAGAGACATAGATAGTTCCTTGATACCTGTAGACAAAAATGAAGGGCCAGGGGCTTCCCTTCCTTTCCATTCTTGTCCTTTGCTGTTTGTTTGATTTTTTTCTTCAGCTATGTCTTGCTATGTAGCTCAGGCTGGCCACCAGCGTATGCTTCTCCTGCCTCAGTATCCTGAGTACTAGGATTACAGATACCTGCTACCTTACTGCACTTTTGATAAAGGGTTTTCTTGAGCAAAACATCCCAAAGGAGGAAAATGGGAGGACTTAAATGAACAGGTCCATCTGGAGTTGTCAACTCAACAAACAAATAGCAAAGAATCCAGAAAGTAAGACTTACTCATTTCTTAGGTATTTAGCCTGGCTGGAATGAAAAAAAATATTCACAAACACTACAGACTTCAGGCTTAGACTTACTAACAGCCAAGTTCCTGTATGGTGTGTTCCTTTCTTCTTCTAACAGCTGATGTGAAACGGCGGGGAGAAACCTGAGAGTTCCTTGTAATTATTTTAAAGAAATATTTTTCAAAGACAAGAGTAAAGCTGGTAAGCCCAAATGATTCACCTTCTTGGAATAAGTTCATTGACTTGGAGGTTTAACCTGACAGAACTGGTGTCTGGAATCCAGGTGAGGAGGAGGTAACTGAATTCTGGCTTTGTCTTAAGCTTTAAAAGGCACAATCACAAGGCACTGTGAATACAGACAGGTGGAACCATTGTGAACTGCTGAGATTTTGGTTACATTCCTGGGTTTTTTCCCCAAAGACTCAGGGGCTCCAAGCTGCTTGTTCCCTCCTGCCTGCTATATAAGCATCACGCATCACCCATAAGTGTAGAAGGAGAAGCCCTGTATCCTGAGGATGGAGTGGAGGGGAGAGGAGACTGCTTTCCTGTGTCACTGCACTGTATTCATGCAGGACTCTTAAGAGCCTGGGGTGGAGCATGCTTCCTTTGGCCTCAGGTGAGGAAGAAATTTAGGAAGGAAGGTTCTTGAGAACTATAGTTTGTCAGTGATCTGGGCTCTTCATCATATTGGCTAAGAAGTGAGGCTTGAGACTCATAGGAGATTAGGCAGTTAACCAGAAGAAAGGCAGGAGGTAACCACTGAAGGGAAAGACACAGTGACGGAGAAAAGATGGCATTGGGTGCCTGCTTCTAGATGCTGAGGAAGACAGGAAGCTGGCAGACTGACCTGGCCACTACTCTGTCTCTAACTGCCTTCTTATAGCGCAGCTGCTATTACACATTTCATACTTGTGTTTCTAAGTTTGTGTCTATGAAATACCCAGCACAAGTACCGTGTCTCCATTTTCTAAGTTCTCTGCAGAGAAATGGGTGAAACTGTAAATATTTCATTGACTTTAAAGAGTGTGTGATTAAGATAAGCATGGTAGCATAGACAGATATATGTACTATAACTTTTTTAAATGTTATAAATTAAAATTTAAATTCACACACTAAGTAGAGTTTCATAACTATTTTCATGCATATATGTCATTATACTTTGATTCTTTTCATTCCACTCTTCTTTCCTTCACCTCCTCCCCAAATTATCCCTGCTTCTCCTCTTACAGTATGTGTATTTCATTATTATGATGGCTAAGTCAGTTGCCAACTTGACACACCTGGGAAGAGCGAGAACCTCACTTGAAGATTTGCCTTAATCATACTGGCCTGAGGGCAAGTCTGTGGGAACATTTTCTTGGTTGCTAGTTGATGTGGAAGGGCCCAGTCCGCTTTGGGTAATACCATCCCTGGGCAGATGGGTCTGGGCTGTACAAGAAAGGAAACTGAGTGTGAGGCTGTGGGCAAGCCAGTAGGAAGCCTTCCTCCATGGTCTCTGCTTCAATTCCTGCCTCATGTTCCCATATGATGGAAAGCAACCTGCAGGCTGAAATGAATCCTACCAGAATGTTTTATCACAGCATCAGGAAGGCAAACTAGAACAGAAAGTGTTACCAGAGTGAGCATGGCTGTGATGGACCTGACCATGTGACTTTTATGCCCTGGGTGGTTTTGTAGCAGAAAGCTGGAAGACTTTAGAGCTTTGGACTGGAAAGGCCACTGCGTGCTCAGACCCTAGTAAGCTGTGGTGACATGGGAAGATAATTCAGAGAGCAAACAGTGGAGGCCGGGCTTGTGGGGCTTCAGAGTAAAGCAAGACTGTCAGGTGTGATGTGGAATTTTGGGTTAAGAGGCTTTAGAAATGAAATCTTTGCGCTGCTGGGACAATGGATGCTGGCTAGCCAGAATTGAAGAGTCAGTTGTTGTTAGTAAGAGACAAGCATCACTGAGGAGAAGGCTCCTGGGGAATATTTCTTGAGTCAGCACAAAGTAGTTGTACTCCTGAGGGGGCCAAGGCCACAACTCAGTCTGGCAGCTAAACTTGGAAAATAAGGAATAAAAGTCTCCCACATAGTACTGGTGTGGGTGTCATATAAGCAGCAGGATTTTAAGGGTCATGGAAAGAAAATGAGGCTTAGCACCATGTGGAAGACATTAATGAAGGTGCAGGCTCAGTTGAAGTGGAGACCCCAGCATATTGGAGATGCCAGGACCATGGGATGTATAGTAGAGCCAGCCTCTGCCTATTAGACAAGCTCTGTGTGCTTTGGATGACAGGACTAAAGAGGTGCTTACACAAACCCTTTGGAGAAAAGGAGCTCATGAGTGAGTCCCATATATTCATTTGTTAAATGGACATGTAGGTTGGTTACAATTTTTTAGTTATTGTGAGTAGTGTAACAATAAGCAGACTATGAAATACCTCTGTGGTATGTTGATTCTGAGTCCTTTGAGTATGTATCCAGGAATGGTTTGGGTTGGACACATCGTAATGGGTTTTTGTTTTTGTTGTTTGGTTGTTTTCTGAGGACACTTCACACTGACTTCCATAGTGAGTGAGCCAATTCCTGCCAATGTGTAAGGGTTCCTCTTTGTCCATATCCTTGCTGGAATTTGTTGTCATTTGTTTTCTTAATTATAGCTATTCTGATTGAGGTGAGGTGGAATCTCAAAGCAGATTGATTTCTTTCATGTTTCTCCATCGCCAGTGTGTGTGTGTGTACGTGTGTGTGTGTGTGTGTGTGTGTGTGTGTATGTGTGTGTGTGTACGTGTGTACATATGCCCACATGCCATGTGGAATAGAAGACAACTCATAGAAGTCAGTTCTCTCTATCATCTGGATTCTAGAGATTGAATTCACTCAGAGCCTTGACTTCACTGAGTTCATTGAGTTCACCTTTGCCCACTGAACTTCACTAGTGCTAAAAGTAGTTTTACTTTTAATTTTCCTCGTAGGATGTTGAGTAATTTTCAAATATCAATCAACTACATTTGTGAACTATCCTGTTTACTAGCCTATTAGCACTAAATGATTTAAGACTTTTTGTGTTTAATTTTTGTAGTTCTTATATATTCTAGATATTAATCTCCTGTCTGATGTAAGTCAACAAATAATTACCCCTTTTTGTAGACTGTCTCTTTATGTTGGTGATTGTTTCTTTTGCTGTAAGAAGCATTTTAATTTCATGTAATCACATTGGTTAATTCTTGAGATGTTTTCTTATCCTTTTGATGGCACCTGTATCTTGAAATATTTACCTATGTTTTCCTCTACCAGTTTCAATGTTTCATGGCTTACACTGAGGTCTTGGAGCTGCCTCTAGGTCAATGGTATGATTCCAGTTTCAGGATGGTGCCTGTGTCTTGAAATATTTACTGATGTCTTCTTCTACCAGTTTCAATGTTTCATGTCTTACACTGAGGTCTTGGAACTGACTCCATGTCAATGGTATGAGTCTAGTTTTATTCTTCTACATGTGGATATGAAGATTTCCAAGAATCATTGGTTAAAGACGCTATCTTTTCCCCAGTGTATGTTTTTGACATGTGATGGTTAACGTGATAGGGTGTGCAATCACTTAGAAGTAACTCATCATATTTGTGAAGGAGTTCCAAGATTGGCTGATGGAGGTGGGAGTTTGGGTCACAAAAATGAGAATAGTAACTAATATGGAGATATTTGTGGGAGGAAAATAGAGAATGACTGAAGGGGGAAAGTGGAGCATAAATGGTCTGTAGAGGTGCAAGCAAATGTTGAGACTCTCCACAGGACAGGTGATGACAGCATCAGCATACTCTAAGAGGGCACTGTTGGATTTTCTGATGTCACTTTGTACAAGTCCAGGTAAAGGGATGGTACCTGCAATCATTTTGAACTGTTTCTGTGTTCCTGAAAACAACGTAGGTAACCATTACTATTATGGTTTGTATCTGAACGGCCCCTCAGAGACTCATGCTTTGATCCTCAGTCAGTGGTGGTGCTTTAGGAAGAAGAGAGTCTGTGGAACCTTTAGGAAGAAGGCCAACCTAGCAGAATTAGGTTGTCACTAGACAGACCACTGAAGATTAGACCTGACCCTCAGCTCATGCCTTACTGTCTCTGCTTCCTGAACTGTTGGGGTATGAATCATTCTACTCTACCATCATGCTTTTCCGAGGTAAGCTAAACCCTCTACACTGTGAGGTAAAATGAGTCCTTCCTCCTTTTAAGTTGTTCCATTGGGTATTTTGTGATGGTGACTAATATAATTAGCGTTCTTTAGAGGTGTTATCTATAGAAAATCTAATGGAGGCACACTCTCTGGCACATGCTCTTTAGAGTCAAAGCAAATGACCATGGGCAGGGTAAGGGAGGAAATCTTTTCTCAGGATCATTTTCGCCCACAGGACAGCTGAACTTTTGCTAGTACTTGTCATTATTCCTAATTAACGTTTGGTATTTACCAGCTCCCTTGTGGCTTGAAGCTGATGCCATTTTGTAAGCCTTGGAGCCCATGCCATTGCTGTTTTCTGGGACTATACCCTCAGTTGTCTTTAAATAAATGTTATTTTCTTTGTTCTTGACTAGATTCATTTCTTGCTTATAGTCACAAAGGTTAGAACACAGTAAATAGTTCATGTGATACCCTTTTATTACATATATCCATGTGTGGCATTTTGCTTCTTGGCAGTTACTTTAGAAAAAGAATAAATATCTTAGGCAGGAAAGCCAGAGTGGTAAACCAATGTGTTGTGTCTCAGTTGCTTTGGGTGAGATCATGGTTCTTTTTGGTTTCTTGCTTTTGTTTCCTTTTTTAACATGAAATTTTTGACAAAAGACTTCCTGTGAGCTAGCTTCATCCAGTTCAGTTTTCCCAGCCATGACACCAGCTAGCATCCTGGAGTTTACCTCACTGACCACTAGCTATTTTTATTTTAATTTATTTTTAAAACCTCTCTCTTCACCTATTTTAGACTTACAGTGAAGTTAAGAGGCCAGGATGAAAGGCTCCTCCTCACGATAGCATCTTACATAACCCTAGTACAATAGTCAAGGTTGGGAAATGAACATCAGTACAATAGCGTGAGCTAAACTGCAGACTTTTTCTCAGACTTCACCAGATTTTCCACAGTCGTACTTCTCCCTTCTTGGTTTCTACCCAGGACCCCCTGCACTGTATTCAGCTGTAAATTGTCCTTTGTCTCTTCCAGTCCGTCGCAACCTCTCAACCCCTTGTTTTTGATGCTTATTCAGAGGGTGGGTGGACCCATCATTTTACAGACTCTCCTCCATTCTGAGACGTCCTGTAAATTCTGACCATGCTGGTTTCAGAGAAAGTATATACTTGACTGTGTTGCTTTGAGTGTGGTGCCACATCCCTGTAATACCATCACTCACGAGCCTTAGAAAAGGGAATGTCATGTTAGAAGCCAGGCTATCCTACAGTGTAAAACCTCGTTTTAAAAGCAACAGCAATACAACAACCAAAAGGAATACCATAGAAAAAGTGTTACAGTGTCCTGGTGTGTCTCCTGGGTGGTGTCGATGTTTAATCAAGAGGGTACCAGTCACATTTCCATACTGTGAAGTTACTTTTTATTTCTTGCAGTTAGCAAGCATGTTGGGACTATACATTAAAACCACAGCTGTTCTCCTCAAACCTTCACCCCATGTCTTTCATCCATCAACGAACCTTGTACAACAAGCTTTTGTGTCAGTTGCTTTTTAATAATTCCATGTTTCTTACTTTCTGTTGACAATTTGTTATGTGGAATTCTACTCTGAGGAAGAGCTGTTTCCTTTTTCATGGTCTGTGTCCTACTTTGCTTTTGTATTTCTGTGATAAATACCATGACCAAAAGCAACTTGAGGAAGACAGGGTTCATTTTAGCTTGCAAGTTACAGTCCATCATCAAAAGAAGCCAGCGAAAAAGAGCAAGGCAGGAAACTGGAGGATGGTACTACCCACAGTGGGATGGTCCCTTCTACATCAATTGCCACCCAAGAAAATGCCAGTGCAACCTCATTTACATAACTTCATGTAATGATTTTGTGCTACATCAACTCTTGATTTCCTGATTGTAAGGCATGATTGTCAGAGAAGGCAAGCTGAAGGACTGAGGATCTTGTCAACAAGCTGACCTCAGAGGAAGGGGAATGATGAATGTCACTGTACCTTAGGATAAAATGCCAGACAGGAAAAGACGGACTAGAGGCAACTCCTGTGCTGTGCTGAACTTTGTGGGGAGGACTTGTGGAACCTTAAAGAACTGAGGAGGTAAAGGACATGTAGGATGCTAGTTAGATGATTCTAGCCAGTGTGCAATCTTAGCATGAGATTATTACAACAATAGTATCTGAAAGCCTCCATTCTGTCTCTACTCTTCTCACCATGAATGCTTGTGCTAAGACTCTGAAGATGATGCACACACCCTGATAATCTACCTGTGGCCTATCGAAGGGGGCTGGTTGAGACATTGAGATGGTCCCAATGGTGGAGTGAACAGTGCTACACTTGGTGTCCAAACTTACATCCATCAACAGAACTGTTTGCTTGTCCTGTGACCACTGGGAGAAGGCTGACCTTTGTAAATCTAGCTTTATCATCTCTTGCTAAATGGCAACAGAACCCATGTACTTATTGTTTGTTCAGGAATAAGTCTCAGAAGAGAATTCTTTAATACAAAATTGTCTACAGTTCATAAGATGAGAGAGCAGATGCACCTTTCTCCTATGTACAATGAGTTCAGAGACACTCAATCTAGTATGCTGGGCTTGATGATTTATATTACAATGCTCAGGAGATAGATACCCATGAACCAGGCATAGGGTCTCTCAATATAGTCCCAGCACTTGCAAGGCTGAGGCTGGAGGGTCACCATGAGCTTGAGGCCAACCTTGACTACAGAGTGAGACCTGTCTTAAACAAAACAGAGCAGAGGAGAAACAATTCTCCCTATGAAAATTCCAAGCATAGATATTGTCTCCCTCTAGATGTACAAAGCCTGATCCAGTGCCTGACTCACAGAGGTGCAGTATGAAAATGTTATTGGAACCATCTCCATCTTTTGAGCCTCTGTTCAAGGAAAATGTTAAGTATTTGTCTTAGTTAGCATTCTGTTACTATAACGAAATACATGAGATGGCTAGCTTACTAAAACAAAAGGTCATTTTGTCTCACAGTGTTTATTTTGGGTTTTTGTTGGTGTGTCAAGGTTGAAGTGTTAGGTAAAATAAAACCATATGATTCATGGCTAGGAATAAAAGTAGAAGAGGATTAAGGGTAGGAGTTAGGGTAAATGTGACCAAAGAACTAGTATACTTATGAAAAATACTTTATAAGAAATAGCAGAGGGGAAAAGAGTCCATCATTTACAACTCTCTTCAAGGCCATCTCCCTAATACTCTGAGGAATTCCCTGAAGGCCTACCTCCTCAAGGTTCCCCCACTCCTCAACAATGTCACTTGGGATTAGTCCTCCAAACACGAACCTTTGGAGGACATTTTCCACTGACAGCAGAGCAGTAGCTCTGCCACAGCAAAAAGTAAAAATGTACAATGCCCCGATAAAGCAAAGAATATCTGTTCAGTGGCCAATGTCTTGGCTTATACTAATAATCACATTAGTTTCACAATTAGCAGTATCCTAGGAAGAGATGGATACAGTTGGATGGCAGAAGGTCAAGGTCATAAGATATTGTTAAAGCAAAAAGTATGGCTATGATATTGGGGCAGATGGTGGCTGAGCAACTAGCAGGTCATCAGAGGAGGCTCATTATAGGAAGAGCATTTCAATCCAGAAGAGGATTTATGAGAAGCATCACTTAGTACAGATATTCTTTGTCCAACTTGGAGTAAGATGTTATGGAATTCACTGCATCTTGGAAATATTGTTTTATGGGTATAATAGAAAAGGATAGACACTCATATTTTGTTGGGTTACCACACATTTACCTCAGGAGGCTAGGTCTCAGAAATCTAGCATGCACACAGAAAATATGGGAAAAGGAGGCAGAGGGGAGAGAGCTAGAGGAAAGAGGCTAAGAGAAATGTGAACCATTTTGAAGGAGAAGAGATGCAGGGAAAGAAACACGGAGTAGATGAGAGTGAGCAGGTGCCATTCATCTGGCTTTCCTGCACTGCTCAGAACCTGGCGCTTCCTCAGAAGAGGCCAAAGTCCTCAGATGACCCTGCCCCGAGATACCCCTTAACTTTCTTCTTCTCTCACAAATCTTAAGTAAAATTGCCTTTGAAAGCTTTTCATCTGCTTCTCAAATGTTCCCACAGTCTTTAGAATCTGAATGGTACTGTGTGTTTCAGCCATGAAAGAGAACATTTCTGGAGGGTAATTGGGAAAATTGAGGGTCTGAACCCCACAAGAGACAATGAGTTTTGACAAGGAAAAATGTCTGGCAAATGCCAAGGATTTTTAAAAATTATTTATTTATTTTTATGAGTAATCATGATGATTCTTTGAATAATTATACTCTGTCACAGTTGCTTGGATATGTGGCTTCTTGTCAGTGAATAAGGTTATTTTGTTGTCCTTATTTTTAGGAAGAGATACACAGTATTGAAATATTTCTAATGTCGATGATGTTGCATTTCTTGAATACTTTTCTTCTAGTGGCTGATGACTCACTAGGCTATCACTCTGTCCCTAGAACACTATGATGCCACCAGTCCTAGTCAGAAAATCATTCCTATAGTTGGTGGGGGAAGGGGAGGTGATGAGGGTGGGGGCAGTATACAGGATGAAAGCCACACACTAGGAGAACACTGGTGAAACACAAGGTTGGAACCACTGCTCACATCTTTGAATTCTGATTTATTTAGTTATTCCCAGGTTTTAAAATACTCAGCTGCCCTGTTATCAGGCCAACCTCAAACAAATAGAGTGTTTTGGCTGCAGGAATATACAATTTGGACACTGTAGTTTCATAATTCAATTTTCTTTTTACAAGCATGATGAATGAGGACTAGGGCTATTATTCTACTGGAAGACTAAGTACAATGAATGAACATGAACCCTAATGTCCTCTTGTACACAGAAGGAGCTTAAAGCTAGGGCAGTCTAGAGCCTGTCTGGTCTGGTCCTTGGTTAGAAGAGCAAGAATACCCTTACCTACGGATTTTCACATGGAAGGGAAGGACACACAGGATTAACGGACTCATAAAAGGACTGGCATTAGTAGTGTGTCACATATTACTGGAAAAATATCTATACAAAAGAATTGTTTGCAAATATGGTAAGTAGATCTCATTTGTTTCTTACAGCAATCATTATTTTAAAGCCAGTATTCTTACTATTTGTATGATACTCTTTCCATCCTTATGCTCTCAGACCTACTCTTGTATTTTAATGTTATTGTGGTGGAGCAGTGTTGAATATTTGGCAGCAATGCTGTGTTTGGTCTATGATTTTTTATTTTTATCTTTTGCATTTCTCAGGTGGAACCTGTGACTTTATGCACACTATGCAAGCATGCTGCTGCTAAGATACGTCCTTATCCTTAGCTTTGAAAATGTATTGATGAGGACATTTGACAAGTGTGGGTAGTAGAAGTTAGGATAGCAAAAGTGTTAGTGATTGTGTAAAAATTTATAAGGTTACTGGAGCCAACATCATTAATGCCATAGTTACATAGAAAGGTGACTGTGAAAACCCAACAATATCTGTGTTTCATCATGCAGGAAGGGTAGATAGCTTCAGGCTCTCAAGCTCTGGGCCCTCTTTCATTTCAGTAAGTGCCCTTGTGTCATTTCTGTTTCTGTCATAAACCCCCCTGAGAGAAGCAACTTATGGAGGTAGGGTTTATTTGGCTTACAGTTGCATGTGAACCTAGTATTGCAGGGAAGTCAAGGCAGGGACTGAAAACAGTTTGTTACGCTCATGGTCAGAAAGAGAGAGAACCAACACACACATGGAACAAACCCAGGGAATGCTGCTGCCCATATTTAGGCTGGCTTTTCCCACATCAGATAGTGCAAATCAAGACAGTCCCCATAGATGTGTCCACAGACCCATCTTTGAGGCTCTATTCTTAGATTTAGACAATGTCAGGTTGACAATTAAAACTAACCATCCCAACTAGTTATGGCAGTCTTTTTGTGAATAGTAGCCCAATAAAGAAAAACATAAATGGTAATGAGCCATCCTAAATTCTAAATAGATGATTTTTTTTCAAGATCTAGATGTGTAGAAGAGCTAACCCTGGATGTCCATAAGGGGAGGAGCTCAGAGTCTGCTACTTAGAAAGGTAAAAATGGAGGTTCTGCCCCAATAGCTCTCAGGTGTCTGGGTCTAGAGGAGTTGGTCACAGAGAACAGTAGGTTTACAGAGTTTGTAGGCAGTAGAAAGTGTCAACAGAGTCTCTGAGGATCTGGTTAGAATCCAGAGCTTGTCACAGATTGAGGGTGGAAACAGCAGGACCAGAAGCAACAGCAGCCCCTGCCGGAGGCTCGGGACTCCCATCGTTTTACTAAACATTAAGAAAATAAGAAAAGGTTACACACTTGTATATCGATTATAAAATTGGTTCTGTACTTTTCTACTTTGTCTACTAGAGTCACCTTGCTTTTCGTTAAGACTTAGAATGATATCAAATATATATACATATATATTAGTATATGTATATATATGTGCATATACTAATGCATACATAGAACTGACACAATATTTTGATTTATAGGAATTTGAAGTACCCCGAGAAATAAACCATATGTTCTTAATTTTGTTTTAGAGTCTGGAGATGTTTGAAAACTAGACCATAACCCCGACAAGATAGCAATGAGAAAGAGGAAATGTAAGTACGTGCTCCTTGATCTTTGTGACAAATGAACAACATTGCCTTCACCTTTGTGTAAGGGAGGGCCAGATGTGTAATTGATCTTTATGATGGGTTATGGAATAATCTAGTGCCATTATTTGAGTATATTAAGAAATATGTGGGTTAGAGTGATTGTTCAGAGGATAAAGGCAGCTGCTGCTAAGCTTGACAACCTCTGAGTTCAATTCCCAGGACCCACATGGAAGGAGAGAACCTATTCCTGAAGGTTGTTCTCTGACCTCTATGTCCATATTGTGGCATATGTACACACACACACACACACACACACACACACACACACACACACACACACACACACACAAGAAAAGAACCTAATGTATAGACTCTAAATTGGCCCCGATGGCACTTGCCTGTAACAGTCAGCTTCTTAATTTAATTTAAAAATTAATCATTTTTGTTGATCAGTTTTAATTACTTTTCAAGAAACTGACAAAGCCTGCCTTGGCCTTTTGCAGATGTGCCATGACTATATACACGCTGAAATAGTATGTTTATATCCAACCACAATTTTAAATTCATCTTTGTGTATCAATTGCCCAATAATCAGAAAACACATTTTTATTGCTTCTGACTGTCACGAAGTAAGCAGGTAAAGCCAGAAGGACTGCCATTCATCTGACTGGCCACAAGAAGACATTTGCTGACTGAGAAGTTTTCATCCAAGCCAACAGCACCTACAATTACATAGCCCTGAAATATACTGTCCTATTTGGAGGTTGCTTTTTTCTATTATAAATCTCCAATTCTGAAGAAAACTGCTTGTACTTTTCCGCAAGGTCGTCATTAAGGTGTTGCAACACGAAATGGACAGATGCATGCAAACCCGGGAGAAGGGCAAAGATCTGAGATGCTGGCAGTTCCTACACAACTGAACATTGGCGTCGCAGGATTAAGCAATTGCATTTTTAAATTTTTCAACAATGAATGGATATGCCTCTATACAAAATCTTGTACATGAAGTTTACATAAGCTTTATGAATAACCAAAAAAACTGGGGACACTCCAAGTTTTTACTACCCACTGTCCTTCAATAGAGTAAACAAATGTGCTACATCCATACAATGTAATATTACACAGTGGGAAGAAATGAGCTATCATGATGGTTGGTTTTAAATGTCAACATGCCACAAAATAGAATCACCCGAGTGAGGAGCCTCAGTTGAGGAATTGCCTCTATCAGGTTGGCCTATGGGAGTGTTCATGGAGGACTTTGATTATCTTAATTGATCTGGGAAGACCAAGCCACCTTGTGGTTGGAATCTCCCTAGTAGCAGCCCAGATTTAAAAAGAACACAGGAGAAGGAAGATATTTGGTATCTCCTCACTCAACCGTTCCTGTTGCAGCTACTAATTCCTTTGCTGATACTAAAACCAGATTTTCTGGACTCCCAAGGTGAACAGAGGAGCAGTGGTTCTCCAGGATTTATTTCAGGCTAGGACAGTTGAGGTACCCAACCTTGTGGACTGAACAACTGTTGGTCTATCAGTTTCCTCATTGTTGAGGCTGTAGGTTTGTGTGGCAGACATACTTGGCCTGATAGTTTCTTGATATAATGTTAGAGTAAGAATGGAATTCTCTCCTCTGCACATCTGGCTTATTTAGAAAACAGAGGTTTCTGGGTTTGTAAAGATTCCAGCTGGCTTCATTTTTCATTCTAGAACATGACAATACTTTATGCATATGGGTACTAATGCCCCTAGTTTCTGGTTTTAAGGACAGAGAAAGTCTGGTGGAATAGAAACGAAACCAAAAATCAGATTGGTTATTTATTTCAAAGTTACTTTTCTTGTAAAGGGATCAGGGAGAGGGGGTAGTGGAAACATGACTGGTTAACATCAGGTCACCACAGTTGGTAACAAGATGGTGTGGGGTTAGCAATGAGTAACATATGTGAGTAATCCATTGTCATTCTTAACTCTGTTCTTCCAGTGGCCTTCCACATTTTGTTTTTAACAACCTAAAGGCTGATTTTTCCTCCTCATTTCAGGAGAAATGAAAGTTTATTTTATGGACCCTGCTATGAGCCTGCTATGCCATATGTAAGGGAGTCAGTCTGTCTCCCTGAGTTTACTAACCCTTGAGTCTGATGATATCTCACTTTCTTCTGGCTGATGTCTCCAAAGCAGTTGTCAGTGCCTATGTGTGAAGGAGTAATATGCCTTCTACTATGGCCATGGTCTAGTCACAAGTCTCCCCAAAGTCTCCATGTTTCCAGCTTGAAAATCATCTAGGAATTAGTGCTAGCAATGTTTGGTTTTGTTTTTAATTTATTTTTAAATAACGTATTTATTCATTCTTTTAAAATTTCATAGAATGTAGTTTGGTCATATTCACACACCATGAAAGTCCTCTAAAATACATCTGCACCTCTAACCCACATAACTTTGCCTCCTCTTCCTCCTCCTCCTCCTCCTTCTCTTCTTCTTCCTCCTCCTACTGCCCATGGAGTCCAATTTGTTGTTGCCAAGATATTATTAGGTGTGGGGCCAACTCTTGGAGCAGCATAGTTCAAGAGAACTGACTCTCTTTCCCAGTGGCTATCACATGTCAATAGCTGTTGTCTCTTTTATGATGGGATTTTTGTCTGAACTAAGTTTACGTAGGACTTGTGTGTGCTGTCACAATCTCTGTGAGTTCATGTGTGCAACTATCATGTTGTAATTGGAAAACACATCTTCATTGTAGTCACCCATTGCTTCTGGTTTTTTCTTATACTCTTTTGACCTCCTCTTCCCTGACCATCCTTGGGAATAGGTGTGTTATAGATATGTCCTTTGGGGTTGTGCACTCTGTAGTTTCTCTGCATGTTGATCAGTTGTGGGTCTCTGTGTTAATCACTGTCTACCTACGGCAAGAAGAAGCTTTTCTATGAGTACTGAGCGATGTGCTGGCCTATGAGTGTATCAATAGGTCATTAGAAGCCAGTTTCAGGCCATACTACCCTGAATATGCCTGACATTCCCTATTGTTTCTTCAATCAGTTATAAGATGCTTTAAAGCATATTTTTGTTTCCCTAAAACCTAATGCAACATCCAGTCACTGACATTTTATGTCTGATGACCTTTTTTCTTTTCCTTAGTTGTGCTTAAAACATAAAACATACGTTATGGAACTCAGTGCAACATGACACCTTCCTTCTTCATAATGTCCCAGAAGAAAACATTCTCTCCCAACCTAAAGAGAACAATTCAAGGATATAAGAGATCAGAGTTCTAGTCTTGGCTCTCTCATTAAGTAGGTGTTGACCTTAGTCATATCCATTAACACTTCTTTGGATTCAAGTTTTGTCATCCATAGAATGGTAGAAGTTAGACATCCTTACAGTTCACACTAACTCAGCACTTGAATCTAGGCCACCTTGTCAGACTAGGGCAAAGGAAGTGGCAGGGTAATAGACACGAAATTGCTCTTTTCTCTGTGTAAAGCACCTGGGCTGTTTCCAAATGGAAATTTCAGCATTAGTAATTGTGAGCAAGAGATGCCCCAGCTAAGCCTAGTGAGACGACAGCAGCTCAGGCATAGGACTCAGGGTATGCAGTCCCACGTTGTGTATATCTGGCACCACCTCGGACTTTCACATGAATAGAAACGAAAGACTTCTTAGCTTTCAAAAATAAAATGTTTCATATTTAAATTGGATTTGTGTTTGAATTATTCTTAGGAACAAGGGGAAATTAGTTAAACCTCCAAGTCATTCTCCAACTCTCCATCTGCTGGCTCACCCCCACGCCTCCCCAGTACCTTCTGTGCTCCTATTCTTCCCCTGGTACCCACTGTTTACTGATCCTCTGGCCCCTTCTCCAGGCTCTTGTGTCTGTACACGTTTGTAGGCTACATCTACTGTTGCCTCCTAAAGCCCTTTTGGAAGATGGACACTATCCTTCTAAATACTCCCCCACCTGCCTGAATGACACTGTTAATGCAGCAACACAGATACTGTTATAATCCAGTGAGCCTCTCTGAGAGCCAATTTCTCTTGGTTTTATGTTTCCCATAGTTACCATCTGTGAGCACATTAGCAAACCCAGAAAGGCCTAGAAGCTCTGCTTCTTGCCTACACGGGTGTGTTGTCAATAATGCAGTTATATAACTTATTACTGATAATTATGCATTTTATCATTTCAGGGATCTGTTGTTTGTTCAGATTAACTTCATAAGGGTCTTAGTCTAGCTCTGAATATTGCCAAATCTCAGAATGACATGGCCAGAGATAGCTATGTAATTTAGCCACGTCACCCTCCACTGACACCTCACAGCTGCCTAAATGACACCCACTGTTGTTTACTTTGCTGAGAACTGTCTCCCCACAGTTCTGGCAAAAAGACGAAGATGAGTAACATAATGAATAGGCAACTAGAAGGGGAAATTTAGGGCAATTTAAATGCATCTACTTCTGCCTTGATGAATTGCCGTGAGCAGCATGAGACAGAAACTGGCACATGATTTTAAATGCTGGAGACATGAAGGCCAATCATTGCTCCAGGATCAGAATTTGAGAACAGATGTACAGACTTGGTTTATTTTACTTCTCTCTTCAGTTTACTCTGTTTTAGAAAAGGAAAAGATTTCTTTTATTTTTCAATTATGTGTATGTCTGTGAGTGCAGGTACCTTAGGAGGCCAGAAGAGGGCATAGGATGCCCTGAAGCTGGCGTTACAGGTGTGGAGCTGCCTGGTGTGGATGCTGGGAATGGAACTTGGATCTCCTGTGAAAAGCCATTGAACCATCTCTCCAGGCCCTCCAACTTACTCTTACTATCACTCATTTAAATACATCTCATGTTTATTTGTATCTTGCTTTAGGAAGGATTAAGAAAAGCCATTATTTTTACCCTCAGACTTTTTGCATCCTGGTAGTTTAAGTTCATATTCTTTTTTCTCTGATTTCTCTCTCTCTCTCTCTCTCTCTCTCTCTCTCTCTCTCTCTCTCTCTCTCTCTCTCTCTTTCTGGTTTTTACGAGACAGGGTTTCTCTGTATTGTTTTGGAGGCTGTCGGTCCAGCCCAGTCTCGAACTCACAGAGATCCTCCTGCCTCTGCCTCCCGAGTGCTGGGATTAAAGGCGTGCGCCACCACCGCCCGGCCTGATCTCTCTTTTTTAAAAAGATTATTATTTTTACAATGTGCATGTGAGTAAGTGTGTTTATGTGCATGTTCAAGTGCCTGAAGAAACCAGAAGATGGCCTGGTGATAGAGTTTCAGGCACTTGTAAGTGGCCTGATGTGGATGCTAGGAACACAACTCCAGTCATTTGCAAGATCAGCAAGACTCTTAATCCCTAAACCATCTTTTCTATCTGTTTTCTCTTATCTTTATTGATTTTTGAGATAATCCCTTTATAGAACACAGATTGATCTTTTACTCTAGATTCTCTTGTCTCAGCTTCCCACATGCTGGGATTTATAGGAATAAGCCTCAATGTCTGGATCAATTTTTCTTCTTTCTTCTCTATTACCTACTGGGTCCAAATCCATCTCTATCCACTAGATATGCAGAATTAGAGAAACTGGGAAACAAGTCTGGGTATTTGTGTATGCACAGACAACATAACTGATTTAATAAGGGACTCAATAAGTTTGTTGAACATGGACAAACAAGTTGGTCACCAGAACTTTTTCTCTGATTATTTTTCAAATGTGCCCAGTCCTGAGTAAAATATAAAGAAATTCCTTCTGGGCATGATAGCTGTATGAAGGAATGGCATTGGTGATCTTCCTTCCAAATTCCTAAATAGCAAAATATACAAATATATTTTCTAAGCATCTGAAAACCACAGATAAATACCATCCCTACATAGTACATTTGGGGCTGGAAGAGCACTCTCAGTTATTTTTGAGAGGTTCAGAGTGTTGTGGAAGTACATGAGTAAAATGCCTTGCTGAGCTCCTCTGCCAAGTTATGAAGTTTAAGGACTGCTGGCAAGAAGAGACTCTGAACCCCTCCTTCTCTATCCCCAGTAGAGGATTTGGACTTTCACCAGTAGACACAGGTTTTGCAGTTCAATCATGTTTCATAGGGCCTAGAAAATAAAAGCACACACAGAAATAGTTGAATCATTGAGAAACAAGCAAATCTTCCTCTGAAATGGACTTCCTGCTTGAATAGGAAAGGGAATTTATTCTTAACAATATTCTGACCCCTGCTCGTGTGATATTACACTACATGCTGTGTAGTGAAGACAGTTTAAAGGATGTGGTGGATTATATGAGAATAAACACAAATGCTGGGTGTGAGAAAGGGGCTGAGTTAGGTGAGGGCACAGAGTAGAAGTAATTGATTCTTAGAAATCAGAAGTAAGAAATCAGAAGTTACTGATTTCTTAGTTGTAAATAATGAGGCCAAATCAAGTTAATACCCTAAATAACGTGTACCTTATAATCTTCATACTTGTAGTTTGCCTTATTTTTCTATAAAACCACATCATTTGAGGCTTGTTTCTTATCTGTATCTCATCTCATCTTCTGGAGAGTGGAGACTTTATTGTTTTTATTTTTATCTCTAGCACCAAGTGTGAACTTGATATATATTTGGATACATGCATATTTCTTTAATAGATAAGTTCAAGGGGAAAGCCACTTAAAAGATCAGGGGTAGGTTAAAAAGTATAATTTCTCCATGCAACTGAAAAAGTAAATCTGGACTTAGATGGAGAGATACTAAATACACAAGGACCATTGCACAAGGAAAGGGGGCACTGTGACTTCCAGGAAATGCTCTGTCTTTTAAGTCTGCAAGTGTCTGGGACAGAAAGTTTTCTTGACTAGGGAGAAGTGAGGAATGTGAGTGGATGGGTATGTGCAAGTAGCTTGACCTAGCTCAAGGTGGTGTGAACAGGAATTTTGCATTTTGATGTGTGCTTCATCTTAGGAAAGATCTGTGGCCTGGGGGAAAGGAGAGAAGTTTCATCAAGTTGCCTTGGTAGGAGGTTTGTCCAGATCAGTCAGTCAGTGATAACCAAAGAATGAGAATCTGAAGGGTTGTTTTCACTTTGTTAGGCTGATATAACAGCTTACAGGAAATAGCAATTTATCACTCATAGTTTTGGGGCTAGAAATCCAAGATCAAGGCACTAGTGGACTAGGTGTTTGGCCGGGCCCACTTCCTACTTCACAAGTAGCATCCTTCTCCTGGAACATCACATGGTAGAAGGTCAACTGAGCATCTTTGTGTTGATGTTATAAGTGACTAGCCCCATTATCTACCTTCTTGCTCTAGTTACTTACAAAGGTCCAGTGCCTTAAAACATCACCATGGAGATGAGAATTTCAGCACACAAACACTGGAGGCTACAAACATTGAGACCAGAGAAAGGACCATGTCTGATTTTGTCACAAGTATGCCACTGTTATTCAGCCTTGTCTAAGTTATAAATGGAGGCTGGTCTTTTTGATAAGAAGTGATTATTGACTGCTACTATTTGTCACACTGTTAACCCACAGGATTTTGGTTATTATGAGGACACTCATGCCCTGAAAGATGAGAGGATGGCAGGTATGGTGATTGTCACTGTTGTCCCCTCCAGTCTCAAACTTAATGGAGAGGCTGTTCTCTAACACTCACTTCCTGTCATCAAGTATAGCTGCCATCTGCCATCTAAGTTACAGACTCTTAAGTCTTACTTTGTCATACTTCCTATGGGTCATTGAATGACATTATTGGAGATGATTCAATGAGAAAACTCAGAATATGTTCCTTATTTTATTCAACATTCTGCAAACCAGAGTGATAGATTATTAAAGTTAAAAAAATGATGCTCTCAGCTGTAAATAATTTATAGACTCAAAGAAAGTTGGAATTAAGTTGTTTATACTTTCTTGCCTCTGAATAGCTTGCTGTGGGAGGCAGCCCTAGTTCCTAAACCTCATTTGGCACCAAATCACTCTGTTCTGTGGCTCTTATTAAATGCATAAATCTTGTGTTTTACACATGAACAATCAACCTCAAACATTCAGTATAGTTCCAAAGGACAAGAAGCTTGGAGAGTGCTGATCGCGGCTTGAAAATACTAACATTTGAAGCATGTTAAAAGAGCATCTTGGAGAAGTAACAGTGCCTCCCCAGGTAATGGCCAGTGTCTCTGCTCAGAGAGAAAGACTGCATCTTTCCCCAGCTTCCCCAGGTTGACTTAATGCTGCAGAAGACAAAGGGGTCCACATCAGAGAGGGTAGATTGAAACATTCTCATTTTCTAGCCCTTGGGAGGGCATGGATGGCATTTTTCAACAAGCAGGGGAAAAGTACTTTAAAGCACATCAAGGAAATTCTGTGTTACCAAGTTTGGCAAGAAGAATATTAATCTCCATTTTGCTGGTAAGCAATACAAACCATTATCTGTATGGCACACATGTCTTGCTGGTCACCAGGCTAAGCAGTCACTGGATCTTTGCAACAGTGTTTTGCTGTTTTTATCCTTGGGATCCACAAAGCAAATGTGAGGCATTTTCCTGGGTTTGGGCAACTACAGTGTGGTGGATCATAGCCTCAAATGCTGCTCTTTCTTTGTGGGCTTCCCAGCCAATGCTTCCTATGGCATTTAGCTCCATCATCTAAAACATTCTGTACAGTTTTGTATATTGATATTAAATATCAAATGTATTAAAACGCTACACAGACATAGTTAGCTAGGTAGATAGATAGATAGATAGATATCAGAAGATAATTAAAAAATGAAATAAATCCTTTCTTTACATACTCATAGAATGCCTTGGACAGTCATGAACTTAATGTTGGTGAGTCAACTCCTCTAGATGATTCGCTTTTATGGTCTGTGCAGGGGGAAAGCCGAGGCTCATGGTGTCTTGGTTATTTGCCCAGAAAAACATTGTAATTAGAATATTCTAGAAAAGCACCCCTGCTCCTCTTACAAAAATCCTCTAAGATCCTGCCCCAATGCCACTTGCTCAGCCTAGGCATTGTCTTCATTTGGATACTCTGAAAAGACACCTTGACCATGGTAAGGAAAGCATTTAGTTGAGGAGACTTGCTTACAGTTTCAGAGGTTCAGTCCATTATCATAATAGCAGGGAGTATGGCGTTATATAGGCAGATGTGACATCTTGCAGGTAACAGGAAGATAAC